TTTTTTTTCTTTTTGTTTTTTTAATTTTTATTCGGTCGGGTCGAGAGAATAGATAGAATTTATAAATCTATCTATCTATCTATCCCAGTTTGTTAGTGTTCCTATCAATCTATCTGTCCTAGTTTGTTCCTATCTATCTATCTATCTATCTATCTATCTATCTATCTATCTATCTTCATTTTCCCCGGTATAAAATGAAGTTTACTTACAGAAAATTAAAAAGCGAACATATACGTACACGTGCTGAAAAGATCTTAATTCTCCCCGAACTTCTGACCACGTACCAGAGTTTGTTTTTTTTTTTTGTTTTTTTTTTGTTTTTTGTTGTTTTTTTTATCTTTATTTCGTCGGGTCGAAAACATTGCCAACATCCTCTAGAATAATATCTATCTATCTATCTATCTATCTATCTATCTATCTATCTATCTATCTATCCTAGTTTGTTCATTACCTATCTATCTATCTATCTATCTATCTCTCAGTGAGTATCAAAGCCATTACTCAGTAGTAATATCATCTTCAAAAATTTAAATGCAACGTCAATCGCCATCTTCTGTCTTCTTGAATCCTGTTTCATTCTTTGCCCCTTCGTCAATCATCCCCATTTTCAATCTTCTCATTTTTCTTTTACTCCCTCTCATTTACATTAACTCCCACCAATTCTCTTTCACCTTCTCATCCTCTTGATCTCTTTCCCTCCCGCTCATTCACTTTCACTTTCACTTTCACTTCCTCTCATTCTCTTTCACTCCCTCTCATTCCCTTTCTCTTTCACTCCCTCTCATTCTCTTTCACTCCCTCTCATTCTCTTTCATTTTCACTCCCTCTCATTCTCTTTCACTCCCTCCAATTCCCTTTCACTTTCACTCCCTCTCATTCCCTTTCACTTTCACTCCCTCTCATGCCCTTTCACTTTCACTCCCTCTCATTCTCTTTCACTTTCATTCGCTGTAACCCAACCCATGACTTACACTGGGTTAAAAGATAAAAAAGAAAGAAATTAAAAATGCAATTGGACTTTTCTGTTACTCCTGATGGACGGCTGTACTCCCATTGTTACTCCTTGCTTTGAAAGTCTGTTGGTACTCAAACTCACTCTAGACCTCAAGTGGAACTCATATATTTGTTCCATCGATAAATATCGATTTCGTTTCCAATGTGTCGAACGATCAGTTTCGTTGCATTCATTTACACGCATATAACCTTGGGAATTATGCAAACCATTACCCCCAGCTAAGGGTTAAATAGTAGGCCTTTTATCTGGAAAAATCATTGTTATTCTCGAAAAATGTTAATTCAATATTAACTCGCAAAAAATGATCTTACAATCCAAAATGTGTTTCTGTTTAAATAACCAACAATGGCTTAATAAGTCGTAAAAAATAAATCAATCGCGATGGTCATCTGTATATTTCTGTTCATATTTGACCCATCATGTTCACATCTATCTGCATAGCGAGATAGCTAGCTATTTCAATTTGTTAATATATATCTATCTATCTATCTCAGTTTGTTCCTATATATCTATTTCCGTTTGTTCATATCTATCTATCTATCTATCGATTTCAGTTTATTCATAACTATCTATCTATCCAGTTTGTTCCTATATATCTATTTCAGTTTGTTCATATCTATCTATCTATCTATCTATCTATCTATCTATCTCAGTTTGTTCCTATATATCTATTTCTGTTTGTTCATATCTATCTATCCCAGTTTGTTCATAAATATCTATTTTAGCTTATTCATTATCTATCTATCTATCTATCTATCTATTTCACTTTGTTCATATCTATCTATCTATCTATCTCAGTTTGTTCCTATATATCTATTTCCGTTTGTTCATATCTATCTATCTATCTATCTATCTATCTATCTATCTATCTATCTATCTCAGTTTGTTCCTATATATCTATTTCCGTTTGTTCATATCTATCTATCTATCTATCTATCTATCTATCTATCTATCTATCTATCTATCTATCTATCTCAGTTTGTTCCTATATATCTATTTCCGTTTGTTCATATCTATCTATCTATCTATCTATCTATCTATCTATCTCAGTTTGTTCCTATATATCTATTTCAGCTTGTTAATATCTATCTATCCCAGTTTGCTCATATATATATATATATATATATATATATATATATATATATATATATATATATATATTACTTTCTTCATATCTATCTATCTATCTCAGTTTGTTCCTATATATCTATTTCCGCTTGTTCATATCTATCTATCTATCTATCTATCTATCTATCTATCTATCTATCTAAGTTTGTTCCGATATATCTATTTCCGTTTGTTCATATCTATCTATTATCTATCTATCTATCTATCTATCTATCTATCTATCTCAGTTTGTTCATAAATATCTATTTTAGCTTATTCATTATCTATCTATCTATCTATCTATCTATCTATCTATCTATCTATCTCAGTTTGTTCCTATATATCTATTTTCAGCTTGTTAATATCTATCTATCCCAGTTTGCTATATATATATATATATATATATATATATATATATATATATATATATATATATATATATATATTACTTTCTTTTATATCTATTCATCTATCTATCTACTTCTCCTTGCGTTGAAAGTCTGTTGGCACTCAAGTTCACTCCAGACCCCAAGTGGAACTCATATATTTGTTCCATCATCAAATCTGCAAAAAGCAACGGTCGTTCTTTGAACCGTTTCAAAAAGTACCTAATTCCTTCTGCCTTGCTTTAATAATGGAAGATTTCTGTCGAGTCTGCCCTGAAGCTGTCCATTCCTCACTTTCAAAAGCATTTAAAGTGGACGAATGATTTTCCACCCTACAACACCTTTCCCCCGAACGGAACGTGGCTAGAACCCCCCTCCCTGCTAACAGTCGCCTTCTCGATGGAAAATGCTCAGTGCTCCATTCATTTGTTCCACCTGTTCAGACCTAATCAGCTGTGACCTTCTATGCCACATAAACAGAGTCCACTCATCCCCTTCATATTCCATTAGTAAGGAGGAAGTTCTCCGCTTCCACGCAGACAGCTTCTTACTCAGAAATGTTACTTTGTAAAAAAGACTCTCAAGAAGATGTTTTCCTGATCACTACGATCTTACTTTCTTCAAATCTATAAGTCAACTCTTACCCGACCTACATGTGCCCTAAATTCGTCTGTGTACCGTGTCCCTTCAGGACATGGGTGGTCATAGTTCTCCACAACTTCTGTGTCTTTTGTGATCTCTCCTAAAGATCAAACTCTCAATGTGTTGTTTCCCCTCTGTCTCCCCGATCTTCAATACGCCCTTCGAGTATCAAATTTTCCAAGCCCTGTTTCCTCACTAAGCATTCTATAAATTTCAACTGCCTATGACTTATTTTAAATACAAGTCTCCTTTTAGCTTACATGTTCAGTTCATGGTATCCTCATCATCCCTCTGTAGAACCACATTTATATTTGCTTCAAGTCTCTTCTTCATCTGTGAAACGATTGTACAATATTCACTGCAAGAAAAGAGGACTGAAATCTCAATCCAGTATTCTTTTGTTTGTTTCTAACGAAATCATTTTGTTCCTTAATACTTTTTGAAGGCAGCTTTCGCTATGCCAAAGCGCCATCGGGTTTTAGTGAGGCCCTTTCCGTCCTCTGTTAAAACACTTCCCCGACATTTAAATTCTTCTACTTGTCTATATCTCTGAGATGAGGTATTAGGATTACTTACATTATTTACATTATTCGGACTCTTATCCTCATCTTCATTGCCATATTCACAACTTCATCTGTGGGAAAATTGTTCAGCATTCACTACTGAATCGAACATTAGGTACTATATAACTGTTCATCACCCTTTTCTTTTTTTTTTTTTTTTTTTTTTTTTTTTTTTTTTGAGAGTTTCTCGTCTCTTAACAACTTGCTTAGATTCCGGAAAACATCTTCCAATATTCCTATGTGACTTCAAAGTTCTTTGTCACACATTTTCCGTCACACTACTTGTAACAAATGAGAGAAAAAGGGAGGAAAAAAAAAGAGAGAAAAGAAGAGAAAACGAAGAACGAAAGGAAGATGACGAAGAAGAGAGAAAGGAAGAAAAACCATAGAGAAAGGGAGAATCAAGAAAAGATAGATGAAGAAAGGAAGAGGGGGGAAAGAAAGAAGAAAGAAAACAGTGTAAGTAAAGTACGATATGGTGAGAGAGAGAGAGAGAGAGAGAAAGAGAAAGAAAGTGAAAGACCATGAAAAAGAAAAACAAAAAAAAAATTTAAATCTACATATTTTTTAATGAAAATCGTGAAGAGTTTTGGCGTGCAGAAACATACTGCAGACAATAGGGTGTGTTTTATTCTTTTTTTTAAGCTCATCTTGATTTCTAATTTGTATCCTATTGTGAAGACTTCTGACTGCCAGAGGAAAAAAAAAGAACTGCTTTTTTGCGACATTGCCATCGCAAATAACATGAAGTGAATAGCATGATGGCTTGATGGGGCAGTGTACTCTTATTTACTCCAGCCGTGATAGATAGATAGATAGATAGATAGATAGATAGATAGATAGATATGAGTAGGCATAAATATGAATAGTCATAGATAAATGGATATGAATAGGCATAGATAGATAGATAGATAGATAGATAGATAGATATGAGTAGGCATAAATATGAATAGTCATAGATAAATAGATATGAATAGGCATAGATAGATAGATAGATAGATAGATAGATAGATAGATAGATAGATAGATATGAATAGGCATAGATATGAATAGTCATAGATAAACAGATATAAATAGGCATAGATAGATAGATAGATAGTTAGATAGATAATGAGTAGGCATAGATATGAATAGTCAGATAAATAGATATGAATAGGCATATATATATATATATATATATATATATATATATATATATATAGATAGATAGATAGATAGATATGGATAGACATAGAAAGATCGGTAGATAGCTATATAATATGACTAGGCATAGATTGATATGAATAGTCATAGATATGAATAGTCATAGATATGAATAGGCATAGATAGATAGATAGATAGATAGATAGATAGATAGATAGATAGAAATGGAGAATCTGTGATATCTTTGTATATGACTGTTAGATGTAAACTGACGTCACTTTACGTGAGAAAGTAAAAAATATAGATCAATAAACATTGTTTAGTAATAAACAAACACGCAAGTGTAGTGGTGGGGGTGTGTTCCCTGTGATCGAACGTGTTCCTGACGAATTTGTTAACTATAGTGATGAGTATTTTCATAAAAATTTCTCTTAGTTTTCCACAAGGTTACACTAATGGGGCGCTCAAGTGAACATCGCTACACGCGATCCACAAAAACTTCTGCTGCCTGTTGTAGTATGGCAGGTAAACGTTTACTAAGATTCCTGTAGCCTGGCACAGGATGAAAATCAATGGGAACCCAAGGAGGTTTCTGCCAGGAGAAGATGAAACGAAGCTTCCGAGGACTGCCTGGCGGTGCCAATGATTGGTATCGGAGACGAGGTAAAAGCAAGAAAGAAATTTAGCTGAGTAAATAGCCCAGAAAGAAGAAAGAAACGAAAAAAGGAAGAAAAAGAAAAATAGGTAAAAGAAAGATAAAAAGAAAGAAAGAATAATAAATTGGTAAAATAAAGAATGAAAAATAATAAATAAGTAAAAGAAAAAAGAAATTGGTAAAAAGAAAGAAAGATAAAAATAAAAAAATAAATAAAGAAAGGAAAAGAACAAATAGGTGAAAGAAAGAAAGAAAGAAAGAAAGAAAGAAGAAATATGTAGAATTAAGAAGAAATAGAGGACAAAGAGAAAAGATTTAGGTAAAAGAAAGGAAGGAAGCAAGGAAGGAAGGAAGGAATAGCAGAAAGAAAGAGAGGGAGGAAGTAAAGAAAGAAAGAAAGAAAGAAAAAAGAAAGAAAGAAAGAAAGAAAGAAAGGAATAGCAGAAAGAAAGAGGAAGGAAGGAAGGAAATAAAGAGAGAAAGAAAGGAATAAAAGAAAGAAAGAAAGAAAGAAAGAAAGAAACGATGGTAGGAAGGAAGAAAGAAATAGCAGAAAGAAAGGATGAAAAGAAGGAATTAAGAAAGGGAGGGAGGCATAGCAGAAAGAAAGAGAGGGAGGAAGGAAGTAAATAAATAAAGAAAGAAAGAAAGAAAGAAAGAGGGAAAGGAAGGAGAAACAAAGAAAACAGAAAACATTCAAAGACGAAACCCGAAAATAAGAACATAGAAATAAAAAGAAAGAAAAAATAAAAGAAACTGTTATGGTCCGGTTCCACGGTGATGGTCCAAGGTGGAACCAATAAAGAAGAACTCGAACTCGGATATGGAATAAAACAGTTATATTACAAACAGGAATATATACAGAGAGGTAGAAAGTGTTAGTACGAACAATCAGGTTTAGTAGTAATTGTCTAAACGCGACTCTGTTTCGGACTGCCTCTGACTCGACTGAGTGACTCGCTCGCTCTGACTGACTGACTGACAGACTCCTCACGGACCTCACTCCAGACTTCAGACGGAACGGTATATAGTCACCCCGCCACCACCACCACGAGGGCATCATGTGGTACAAAGCCGGTTTAACGTGGGATCTCCGAGCCTGTGGGCTCGGCTGTAATATGCCTTGAACCCGTATAAACGGGTTTCAGGGTCAATTACCTCCCGAAAAGAGACTCCGCCCTTCGGCGTAGCTCCTTCGGGTTCCTCCCCGCCCGAAGGCAGAGAGTTCAACCGATCAGCCGGTCAGCCGATCGTCCGGCTTCAGGCTAAACGGTATTTAGTCATCCCCCCACGAGGGCATCATGTGGCACAAGGCCGGTTTAACGTGGGATCTCCGAGCCCGTGGGCTCGGCCAACAATATGCCCTTTGAACCCGTATAAACGGATTCAGGGTCGGTTTACCTCCCCCGAAAGCGACTCCGTGTTTCGGCGTAGCCTCGTTCGGGTTCCTCCCCGCTCGAAGGCAGAGAGTTCAACCGATCAGCCGGTCAGCCGGCTTCCGGCTGAACTCCCTGCTTCCTCTTGAGGCGCAGTATTTATTACGTATGGAATAGTCCATTATGTTATTATGGGTAAGGTCCCATAACAGAAACAAAATCGTGAAGTGAAACAAATAAAAAAATAATAAATCGAAAAAGATTAGATTAGAATGAAAAAAGAAAGAAAAAAGAGTGTAAATAAAATAAAAAAGGTAGGAATAACAGAAGTAAAAAAACAAGAAAGTGAGAAAAGAAGAAAAGCCATAGAAGAAGGAAAATAAAAAAAAAAATAAAGTTGAAATTAAAATAGGAATAAAAAAAGAAAGAAAAACTAATTAAGTACGTAGACAAATACGAAGAGAAATAAGAAAAACGCAAAATAAAACAAGTAGAAAGAAAGAAAGAAAGAAAGAAAGAAAGAAAGAAAGAAAGAAAGAAAGAAAAGACAGCAGGGAAAGAAAAAGAAGAAGGAAAGAAAGAAAGAAAAAAGAAAGCAGGGAAAGAAAAGAAA